AACAAAAATAGCTACCAAAACTATTTTGGTAGAAGATAGACAAAAATGCATCAGGAGTAGTATATATTTAGTAAAATAAGATTTTCCCTTTTATGGCTGTCTTTGGTGGTATATAATCTTTCATCACAAACTCTTAGCAACTCTTCAGTAAATAAGAACAAGAACACTGGCTTAGGCATCAGAGTGCCTGGGCTCAAATCATGCCTCTACCACTTAATAACTGTGTAACTCTGGGTAGATTATGTATCCATTGCTTGCTATACTTCCCTCATCTGCAAAATTGAGTTTATAATAGTGTTTATCTGATAGGATTGTTGTGATTATTAAGTAGGATAATACTAGCAAACTATTCAGCACAACACCTGGATCAGTATGGGTTAAATCAATGTTAATTATTGTTATTGCTACTGTTATTATGTCTCTGCTTTATGGCCTGTAACCATTCTCTCGAATTTTTTAGGGTTTTCTTTGGGAGCAGGGGGTGGTGGAGGTGGGAGGAAATAGGTACATAGATCAATGGAACAGAGTAGAGAATCCAGAGTATCCAACACATATGTGATCAATTGCTTTGCAACAAAGTTTCCAAGGCAATTTAATGGAGAGATTATAATTTTTCTTCAGTAAATGGTTCTGAAACAACTGGATATCTGTGTGGGGAAAAAAAATGAAACTACACCCCTGCCTCATATCATATTCAAAATTAAACTAAAAAATCAACTCATTTTAAAAGCTAAAAATACAAACTAACTTCTGGAAAAAACATAGAATAAAATCTTTTTTTTTTTGAGATGGAGTCTCACTCTGTTGCCCAGGCTGGGATGCAGTGGCATCATCTCGGATCACTGCAACCTCCACCTCCCTGGTTCAAGTGATTCTCCTGCCTCAGCCTCCTGAGTAGCTGGGATTACAGGTGCCCACCACCACACCTGGCTAACTTTTACATTTTTAGCAGAGACAGGGTTTCACCATGTTGGGCAGTCCGGTCTTAAACTCTTGACATCAAGTGATCCGCGCTCCTCGGCTTCCCAAAGTGCTGAGATTACAGGCATGAGCCATCGCATCTGGCCAGGAGAAAATCTTTATGGCTTTGAAACAGACAAAAATTTCTTAGAAAGAACACAAAAAGTATGAATCATAAAAGAAAAAAATGACAAATTAGACTTCATCAAAATTTTAAAATGTCTGCCCTTTCAAAGACATTGGTAAGAAAATGAAATGGCAAACCACAGACTGAGGAAAAAAATATTTGAAATATACATATATAGGTATATCAGCCAAAATACTTGTATCCAGAATATATAAAGAACTTTTACTACTCAATAATAATAAGAAAGACAACCTACTTTAAAAAACAACCTACTTTAAGAGTTGGTTTTCTGAAAAAAAAAACAAACAAACAAAATAAATAGACTGCTAGCTAGACTAATAAAGAAGAAAAGAGAGAAGATCCAAATAAACATAATTAGAAATTACAAAAGAGAAAATCTAGGAGAAATGGATAAATTCCTGGACACATATACCCTCCTAAGACTGAACCAAGAACAAATTGAATCCCTGAAAAGACCAATAACAAGCTCCAAAATTGAATCAGTAGTAAAAAACCTACCAACCAAAAATAGCCCAGGACCAGAGAGATTCACAGCCCAGTTCTACCAGATGTACAAAGGAGAGCTGATACCATTTCTACTGACACTATTTCAAAAAATTGAGGAGGAGGGACTCCTCCCTAACTCACTCTATGATGCCAGCATCATCCTGATGCCAAAACCTGGCAGACACACAAAAAAGAGAAAATTTCAAGCCATTATCCTTGATGAACATTGATGCAAAAATCCTCAAAAAAAATACTGGCAGACTGAATTCAGCAGCACATCAGAAAGCTTATCCACCATGATCAAGAAGGCTTTATCATTGGAATGCAAGGTTGGTTTAACATACCCAAGTCAATGTGATTCATCACATAACAGAACTGAAGACGAAAACCACATTATCATCTCAATAGATGCAGAAAAAGCTTTCAATAAAATTCAGCATTCCTTCTTGTTAAAAACTCTCAGCAAACTAGGTGCTGAAGGAACATACCTCAAAATAAGAGCCATTATTTGACAAATCCACAGCCCACATCATACTAAATGGGCAAAAGCTGGAAGCATTCCCCTTGAAAACTGGCACAATACAAGGATGCCCCCTCTCACCACTCCTATTCAAAATGTTATTGAAAGAAGTCCTGGCCAGAGCAGTCAGGCAAGAGAAAGAAATAAAGTGCATCCAGATAGAAAGAGAGGAAGTCAAACTATTCCTATTTGCAGATGACATGACTCTATATCTAGAAAACCCCACAGTCTGAGCCCAAAACCTCCTTAAGCTAATAAACAACTTCAGCAAAGTCTCAGGATACAAAATTAACATATAAAAATCATTAGCATTTCTATACACCAACAACAGTCAAGCCTAGAGCCAAATCAGGAACATAGTCCCATTCACAATTGCCACAAAAAGAAGAAAATACCTAGGAATACAGCTAACCAGCAAGGTGAAAGATCTCTACAATGAAAACTACAAAATGCTGCTCAAAGAAATCAGATATGACACAAACAAATGGAAAAACATTCCATGCTCATGGATAGGAAGAATCAATATTGTTGAAATGGCCATACTGCCCAAAGCAATTGATAGATTCAGTGCTATTCCTGTCAAACTACCAATGACATTCTTCACAAAACTAGAAAAAAACTATTTTAAAATTCAT